GGCCTGGCCTCCGGCACACAGGTGACCAGCCGTGGCTGGAGTCTCCTCCCACAGCACATGGTCAGGAAGACCTAGAGGCCAACCGAATGTGTAAGAACTTGGGGGCCTTCACCCCCAGGCACTGCCCCCCTCCGCTCGAGCGCCCTTCATGTGCTTGGCACAACCTCTGGGTACAACCGTCCTCGGCACTTGGGCCATCCCTCCCAGAGACTCCCGAGCTGTCCGGGGGCCATTACCCGACAGCTAAGGCAGCCCCCGAATGTCACGAAGGGAGGAAATCACGTCGAACCGTTTACTCAGAAATTCCAAACTGCAACCAATTCCACATAAGGAAAAAGCCAAGAAAATGGTCTTGAGATGCAACACCCTTGGGCGCCTCAGCTCCGGCTGCAAGAGAGGCTGGGGCCGCCTCCAGCTCTCGGGGCTCCTGTTCTGGGGCCAAGCAGCAAGGAAATGGGCCGCAGCACTGATGAAGAAGCCGTGATGAAGATAATTGCAGTTCTTGGTAAAGACAAACTCCGTTATCCGGGGAGATGAATCAGTAGGAAGCTGACGCCAAAAAAAAAACAAAAAGCCCTTTCGTGGGGCGTCACTGGAATTCTTGCTCACTTCAGGAAGTTCTCTTTTCAAAGAACATCCTGAGTCTGTAAGAATCTGAGCAAGAAGGAAGCGCGGTGAGAGAGTTCGCAGGGATCTCTGCTCTCCACGCACCGGCAAGCGTGGCTCACGGAGGCGGCTGCTGCCCGGGTGAGAAGGTGGGTGCGGGCCCGGCCTGGGCGGTCAGCTGGCAGCCTGCCGATCAGCCTCAAGAGGACCGCTCCCCTCTGGGCCGCGTGTTCCTGGGCTGTCAAGAAGGAAAGGTGGAGCTGCAGAGCACGCTGCAGACGGTCCGTATCCTCAGGCTCATTTCCCAAAGGGCTCGCAGCCCCCTGAGGACCCGACCGGGAAACGAAACAGCAGAGCGGGCCGGTGAACACGCACTGGCATCACCCCTGACCCCGTCCCAACGGGACAGCGGCGGCGAGGCCCCACAGCAGCATTGCTCCGACGGGAAGTCTCCATGAAGCCTCCGTGGCTGTACAGTGTGTAACAGGACGGGGGGGTGGGGAAGCAGGACCCGGCCTGACAGCAGAAGTGACCCCATGGCTCCAGGGCCAGCACCGCCCCCAGCCACCGCAGACCCCAAGGCCTGTGCTGGGGTGGGCTGGGAAAGGCCTTCCCCAGGATATACCCCAGCAGCATGTAAGCCACGTTTCCCACTTGCTCCACACGGCCTCGGCCGACCACGCCTCTGGATATTGCGGCTGGTGGGCATTTTCCCTGCTTTGCAAAGATGAAATAGGTTATTTAATATTAATTATTGGTATTAATACCACAGACACTATTAACTAATATTAATAACAAATAGGGCCACAAAAGATGTAGTCCTATTTGTGGTGGGGGTTTTTTGCTGTTTTTTTTTTTTTTAATCTAGTCAAAATTTAAGTGTGTCAGCTCTTCAATGACGATGCTGCTAAGATTCTGTTAGGAAAAGGCAAATTTCAGGATCCCTTTATTATGTAAACTCAACTTTTAAAGAGGATGAAATAACCCCAAATGCTCTGTGGACCTTAAACTCCTGCCAGACCCAGTTCTGACAACCGGCCCAAAGGCACAGTCGCCTGCTCCTCACTGTGGCCTCCGGGGTCCCTTAGGCCGGCCACTGCCTCGCTGGCCCTGTGCTGAGCCCCATGAGAGGCGGGGTCCCCCCTCTGCCTCCTCTGGAGTCCAGGTTCCCGCCCCAGCCTCAGGCATCCTGCGGACCCCCAGGCGGAGGAGGAAGAGCACTTTGCCTGAGGCTGGGGGTGCGGGGAAGAGGCCTGCAGGCCGGGAGCTTCTCTCTGCAGAGATTTCTTCAAAAAGGCAGGGCAGAGCTCAAGGGAGAGAAAATGAGTCTCCTGACACTAGAGCCAACCAAACAGCAGTTAGCATGCCACGCTTGTTCGTAAAGCACATGACTCCTGGCGTGGAATTTCTGGTAATAATTCGAAGGGAATCATCACAGGCAGAAGGACTGTGCAAATTAGTTGTTTTCAAAGGATGAATTTTTTTTTTGAAGTTTGAGTGATTGCAAACTGATTAGGATGATCCTTTACACATTTTTCTTACCATTAATTCTCCTTAGATCTTCCCCCTGAAAGTGGGTTCTGAAAGACGGTTCACTCTCCCAGATCACAGGCGCCTCCCCCCGGAATGGATGGACGGTCAGCCAGGAAGCGCAGACTCTAGAACACGGAGCTCTCGCCTGCCGAGATAAACACCAGGGGCAGGCGCTGGCGCCCTGGGGAGACACGCACCTTTCCAGAGCTCCGTGCAAGCAAGCAACGAGGACCTTGAGAAAGGAGATCTTGAGCCCGATCACAAGTTAACTTGGCTCACGTCAGTGGCCCAGGCCCAGTTCCGATGTGAAACCAAGTGGTGATTTCCTACAGCGCCTCTCTCCTCCCAGCCCTCTGTCCCTCGCACACTCACTCTTCACGAGGGGACATTTCCGAGGCGCTCTTAGAGTAAGTCATCCCGTGCACACTTCCCAGATTTCCTTTCCAAAAGCTGAAGAAAAGCAGATTTGGCTTCAGAAACGTCAGGGTAGACTATTAATCAGAAATTAAATGCCAGCACAGGCTTCCCGGGGAGTCTGGCGGCCACTCAAGCTGGCTGACATTTCCTTTCATACTCAAAGGCCTCCTTCCAAATGTCTCCCAGCCCCGCGGGCAGTGTTGGTGCGGTGGGGTGGGGGCTGGGACACCCCCAGGGCGCCGGGGAGAGAGCAAAGCCCTGCAGAGGCTCGGGAGGGGCCGCTGTGGCCTGTGGGCGGGCGGAGGCTGGCACCAAATTCACTGCAAAAGCCCTGCCAGCTCCGCTTTCTTAAAACGTGTCATTTGGGGGATTTGCCGTGTCTGCTCCCCCGGAGGAAACTGAGGCTGGAAAGATAGGAAGGCGGGCAGGGCACCCAGGCCCGTGTGCCGCGTAGAACTCGGGCAGCTCAGGCAGCTCCCCCCAGGACACCCCTCTGCGAGCTGAGGTCTGCTCTCGAGGGGGCAGGAGTCGGGCGGGGGTGGGGTGCCCCCCTCGGGCAGTCTGCAACAGCTCCAGCTTCCCAGGCCTCTGAGGGCCCCGTCAGTCTGTTGCCAGGAAAGGTGAGGGCGGTGGACAGTCCGTCCGCGTCTCCCCCACCAAGGTCACAGGGCTGACCTTGCCCGGGGGTCGACCCCCGGGGCCTGTGATCCTAGGGCGCCACTGCCCGACACCCGTGTCCTGGAATGACTCCCGCAGACTCCCTGCCCAGTCGCTAATTCATCACCGGGAGCAGGGTTGGCCCAGGCCAGATGTAGAGAAAAAAGCAATTTTCTGTCCACACGCCTCAAGAAAATCAATTCATTTCATTTTGGTGGAGTTGCCGGTTGTCTCAACGCTCTGTCAGAAACCCCAGCGCCACTTAAGGAGCAGGACTTCGCCGCCTCCCCTACCAGGTGGACGTGGCCCCGGTGACCACGGCCCCTCCCTCGGCCGCGCGTCCAGGCCGCCCCAGCCAGCCCCCTCCGCAGAGCGCTCAGGCCAGCCCCGCCTGAAGCCGCCGCGGGGACACGCACTCGCGGGGCCCAGGCGGTTCCCTGCCCAGTCATTGCAGCTTCTCCTCCCTCATGGGCTGGGGGATCAGACTGGAAATCCGGGGCTCATAAACATCTCTGCAGACAGTACTCCAAGTCGTGGGTGCGACCTTATTATTTTGTCCTGTTGACAGAATCATCATCCCCACAGCCTGAAGCCCCGCCAGGGAGGCTGTGGGCCTCTGGGCTCCTGAGTGGACGCGCTAGTGATTCCTCAGCGGACAGAACGGCTGACCCGCCGGCCCTGCCAGTGAATGATCCCTGGGCCGAAGTAAGGAGCTGCTATTGATCTGACGCCGCTGAACTGACACCTGCTGTTCTCAGACAACACTTTCCCATGAACCGCACGCGCTCTTTTCCACTCCGACGCGAGAGCAGGACTTCGCAAGTACGTGAAAGATCTTATTTTCTAAACAAAAAGAGCAGGGGGCTCTGCATTCCCTCCAGAACCTTCTCGATGAGAAACGAGGAATCAATCTTCCAGATGGGCCAATTGGGGCTGCCCAGAAGGTCATCGGGACGGGGCTCAATGTCACGGCAGAGCTGAGCTGCCAGAGGCGTGACCCGGCGGAGCGGGCACAGTGACACTCACTGCAGTGACCCCCAGATGCCCCAAGTTGGGGTACCTTGTTAACTCCATCCTGTGGTGGGGGGTGTCGCCGAGTCCTTTAGTAGGGCCTTCTTCAGCCCTTCCCTACTGTACATATTCTGTTTTTCACCAAGAACATATTTAATATCAGTTGTCAGGACTCACAAGATTGTAGAAACAAAATAAAAATAACAAGAAAACACGCTGCCTATTACAGATGGATTGTGTGTTGAATCCGAAGCCGCGTTGGATCTTAAACCCGAGAACCTCAAAGCACGGCCTTACCTGGAGATCGGTCTTGGCACTCACAGGTTCTGTCTGACCGCGCGCGTGTCATCCACACACATCCCACTGGCCGAGGAGGCCACATGACCCTCCCCACCCAGGAGGTCGACTCTGCCTACAGGGCAACAGTGACAGTCACCATGGCAACCAGCAGGCCGCAAACCCCCCCCCCATGAGAGAGGGGCAGAGGAGCCGGAGGGCACAGGGCGACCCCCCTGGATGCAGCCGGGCGGCTCCCCTGCACTGCTGGGCCTCAGCTTCCCCGGCTCCTGGCAGCCACACGCACGCCACCTCCATCGCCACCCAACTATTCTGGGCTTGGAACATCCAACTGCTCCTCTGAGTCGCTCACAGCTCAGTCCCTGCCATCCTCACTTCGATTAAAAAAGGAAAAAGCAGCAGAACATGGAAGTGCTTCATCTCAGTGCCCGTGGGACCCGAGCAGAAGTCAGGAAGGGGAAAGGAAAAGACAAATTTACCTTCTATCCAGACACCAGAATTGCCTGAGGGAGTTTGGAAAGTCCCCAGATTTGCTGACTCTTGGCCTGGCCGTCTCTGCTCTCTGCCTTGGCACAGCCGAACATTCGTGAGTTCCAGCCAGGCCGTCGCTTGGCCCTGGGGGTAGAGAAGAGTGACCTAGGATCTTCCCTCAGAAAACTCGCAATCTGGGGCTTCCCTGGTGGGGCAAGAGGTTACGTCTCAGCACTCTCAGCAGCCACTGAGGCCTGAGTGCGATCCCCGGCCAGGGAGCTACCCACATGCGCAGCGAACTCTCCCGACTCGCCCGCTGCTCCCCTCAGCAGTGGATTTCAGTCAGTCTGCCGGTTCTGCTCCCCACTCTGTCTCTGGTGAATCCTCTCACCCCCTGCACCTCTAGCCTGCACCCCCGCTCTTGTATGCATACATATATAAAATAAATCTTTAAAAAAAGGAAAAGAAAACCCGCAATGTGATGACAGGGCCCTGCGCCCTGCGGGTCCACCCAGGAAATGCTTGTGCGGGGCTCAGAGGGGGCATGTGCGGCACCAAGGTCCACTGCTGCGGTGGGCACACAGGCAGCAGGGCCACTCACGCGGGCGTGATTCCCTCCAGGGGCCTTTCTCTACTTCAGTCGTGACCTACCTTAAGGACCGACATGAATGTGTGATCGTGACTGGACCAGCACCCCAGGGAGAACAGAGTCCACGGGTCCCGAGTGGGGGTCTCTGGGAATAGGTGGCGTTCCCAGGCCAGGCGGGGCGGGCGATGTGCCCTGGGACGTGCTGTTCACCCGCCTTGGCCGGAAGCCTTCCCAGGCTGGTCCTCGAAGCCGCCCATTTGTGGCGATCACCTTGGCGGAGCCAGCACCAGAGTGGGGTCCAGCAGAGGCCCGTGGGCAGCTGGCTCTGCCGTGGCGATCTCGTCAGGGATGGATGAGACTCAGAGATTGAGCTGATGTTAGTCTTAAAAATGATTCCTCCTTGACACTGGCTCAAAATGTTTTCTTATATCGTCTTCCACTTTATAAACGGGGTTATAGTGAGTCCCCCCAAATTCATGTCCATTTGGAATCTCAAAATGTGACCTTATTTGAAAATGGGGTCTTTGCCAAGGTAATCAGTTAAATTAAAATAAAGTCATACTAGACTAGGCGGCCTGGCCTTCAAGCCAAGGACCAGTGTCGCACTAAGAGGAGGGGGAGGGAGACTCTCCACAGGCCCGGGCAGGGCTGTGCCAGGCAGACGCACCCTGCAGGAGCCAGGACGGGACAGGAGCGTCTTCCTCGAAGTCCCAGAGAAGGCACCGGCCCTCCCACGCCTGGGTGTGGGACTGTGGCCTCCACAGTGGTGGGAGGATAGATTTATGTTGCTTAAAAGAGCTGCTGCTCCCAAAAGCTGACCACAGATCTGGGACGGGACAGGCAGGAGAACACCCAGGGCAGGGCAGAGGTTCCGCGGTGACCACACCCCAGGGCAGAAAACCTGTACTGTTGAAGAGGTAACAAGGCTGGAAATAAAACACTGCTGCTTCGTTAAACAGATAAATAAATGATAAGGTGTGAATCTGGGGGGAAAAGGAACTGTTGTTTCCTGAAGAATTTCAAAAACCCCATCTGCAGACACGGCGGGCCCTGGCCCGGCACCCTGTCCACCGCCCTGTGGAGGCTGACCCTCGTCATCACCCCACGTCCACAGATAAGCTCCCCCCAGGTTCCCCCCAACAATTCGGGTGGCACAGAGCTAACGAGTTAGTGGAGAAGCGCCCCATTCACCAGAGTCCATGCAAGGCCCGACCCCCCTGCAGACACCACGCCAGACGCAGCTCCTGCTCCCGCCTGGAACGGGGACAAACGGAGCAAGTTATTTCAGGCTTGGAACATGGAGCGCGTGCCAGTGAGTCCGCAGCCCTGTAATTTCAGCAATCAGATGCTGCAATTAAGTGTCTGCACGTCCGGTTCCACCGCGAGGCGCGCTGCGCTCTGTCGGCAGGCGGGCGGGCTGGCCCGGGAGCAGGATGTCCACCCACGTCCACCACGTCCACCCACGTCCATCCCGCCACCACCACGGCCCAAGACCAGTGCATGGAACTCATCTCAGGAGTCTTGGATTTTTGAGGGTTATTTTGAGGCATAAGCTGAGAAGGCAGGTGCCCCAAGTGCTCTAACGCACTTTATTTTTACTTTATTTATAAAACAGCAGTTTATGCGGCGTTTCCGAGAAGCTCAGGCGTCCGCAAGCACGCGAGGACAGCCTCGCCACGGCCACTGACAGAGGAGGACGCGCTGAGCCAAGCGAAGGGCAGAGGTTGGGCCTCCTGCTCCCAGACACGCGATCGCTCCCGCCCACGCCTGGCACGTTTTGGTTCTTATTTCTAGTCCCCCGGGCGCTGGGAGCTGCTGGCCACGGCAGGGCCATTCCCAAAGGGAGAGCTCCATGGAGCGCCCCCCCGGCCCCCACCTGCCAAAGGCGCAGAACTGCCGTGCGTCACGGAGCCGCAGGGCGAGGGAACACGATGCCCAGGACGGTGTCCACTGGGCAAGGCTGCTGGCCGGGGAACCACGCGGGTCTGGGGAGAGGGAACGCCATGCTCCCCGGGACTGGGGGTGCACCAGTTCTTCCGGCAGGGCACCCCGAGATTGTCGAGACGTGAACCCCACCTCCTTGGCTGGGAGCCGCTCTCCCGATCACTCAGCTCCTTTGCTCTAATGATCGGCTCATCAAGCCGTCCTCGGCCTATGATTTGGTCTCTCGAGGGCCTTGCAAACGTCTGATCACTTTATCCCCCAGATCACAGCCCTTCAGCGCCCCCATCACCCTGCAGCACGGAACATGCTCATCCTCTTGCTTCCAAAGCCTTTGTGACAAAATCCTCCCCTTCCAGGCGTGTAATTCACCAGCCCCCCTCCCCCCCATCTATGCTGGACACTGGCGTCCAGCTCCCCCCAGCACAGCACGATGACCTCCTTCACTCCTGGCCGCTGAGGCTGCCTCCCCCTCTCGGCCCGTCTGCCCACCCCCGGCTCAGCTCTCCCCGCCTTCCCTGAGCTCCCCTCGCGAGGGCCCTGGTGCTGATCCCCTGTAGCTGCGGGGTCAGAGGTCAGAGGCGTCTGTGTCTAATTTCCTCCCGCTGCCTTCATTTCACTTTGAAGCTCAGGCCTGGGCGCTGGGGACCGGGCCTCCCAGACTTGCCAGGGCCAGGCAAGGTCCCCGGGGAGAAGCCGCCCTCCTGGCTGACCCGGGGAGGGAGGGTGAGAGGCCTGCTCTGCGTCTGAGGCCTCATTCCTCGCTCATCATCAGATGCTGACAGGGTGACTGTTACAAGCAGGTGCAAGCTACGGGGGGGAGGGGGGAACAGTGATTAAAGAAGACCCCCCTCCCACCCTACACTCGGGTGGGGCAGAGTGAGGTCGAGGGAAGGGTCCAGGCACCCTTCCCGCTGCTCTTCACCAGCCCTCTCGCTCGCTCCCTCCCCAGGTCAGCCAGGATGGCAGCAGCTCCCCTAGGACCTTGCCTGGCCAAGACACAGACACAGCCCAGGAGGCCCCGTCCCCGACGCCCAGGCCTGAGCTTCCAAGCAAAATGAAGGCAGCGGAAGGAAATTAAACACACAGACACCTCTGACCCCACAGCCGCAGGCCCACACTCAAAGGAGCACCTGCCCGAGGGCGCCGGGAGGGAGTCACATCCCGGGGGTGGCGGGGGCTGGCATCCCGAGGGGGCTGGCATCCCGCAGACACAGGGAGACCAAGGCCCCTCGGCTCAGCCTCGGCCCAGTGCCGGGTAGCTGCGTTCTGGAGACCTCTGGGGCCTCCCACACAGAAACAGCTCAGTGCTTTTAGCAGCAGTCGATCTGCAGACTCAAGAGAGACTTGGATTTATTTGCAGGATCTTCTGCTGAAAAAGATTTCCAGGGCTGTGGACAGTGGAACGATTGATTCTTCACCCTACGAGTTGCCTTTTTAAGTGGAGGCACTGGTGTGACTTGCAAGTCTACGAAGGAGGTACTTTGGCTCAAGTGGACGGAAAAGGAAGCTCAACGCAAGCGGTGCCGGAGTGGGCTCGCCGCGGACGGGCGCTGGCCCCGGGAGGGTCGGGGCAGGAGGACACCGCCGGGCCTGCCGTCAGCAGCAGCAGAACTTGCTTCCAGGGCTCGCCCTGCAGGCGGCCTGTGGTGTGTCCTCGTCACCGTAACCTCCTCCAAAGCTCAGCCGTGGAAGCGCCTCGGTCACTGAGCCCCACGGATGGGGGTGCCCCACCCTGTGCGCCACCTGCCTCTGGAGACCAAGGCACACGAGGGGGTGGGAGGCACCCACAAATCAGGGCCCATGCAGGGCTGGCCGCCGGGACCGAGGGGACACTGTCAGGGTGCGGACAGCAAGGCGGACGCCCTGGCCGGGAAGGCAGAGGTGACCTCGGTGCGGCTGGGAGCCGTGAGGACGTCGGCTGTGCGGGTGCCGGAGACACAAAAACGCGTCCAGGAAGTTTACCCAAATGTCAAAGCTCTAGTCAGCTGAAAATAATTTCAACCACACTCCCTGTTGCGGAGAACCTCCCTCCAGAAGTGACGGAGCTGACGTCCGACCTTTCGAGAACGGGAAGTTCTCTGAGCCCGAGCGCGGAACCGCTGATGCAAACAGCAGACCCGCGGATTACTCACCCCCGGGCGCCAGTGCCACGGAGAGCGGCGCCACGCTCCAGGAAGCGCGTGGGTGTCCCAGATGGCGCACGGAGGAGCCGTTGGAAAAACTTTCTCAAGGACCTGTCATTGAAACCGCAGCTGAACATGATTCTTGATTCTCCTCGAGCGCATCAAGTGTGTGAGAGAGAGAAGAACGCAAGCCATTAAGGAATGAGGAGATGGATTTATCATTTCTCTTCCTCAAAATCCATCTCCGCCCCATCTTCCCATTCCTGAGGGGAGCGTCCCCAGAGCCCTGAAGGTCACTCGAGACCCCTCGGTCCCGAGTCCATGGTCAGACACCCTCCCAGTTCCCGCGCCTCCGCCAGATGCTGTGTGGCCTCTGCAGGGCGCCTGGCACCCAACACCAAGCCTCTCAGTCCCTTCTCCTCTTTGCCCCCAAAGCAGCGCTTCTAAGAGGCCACGTCGACCAGTGTGACTGTCGGTGAAATCCTGCCATGCTGCCTGTAACCTCCACGCCACGCCCAGGCCCTGCTGCTGCCAGGGCGCTCACCCAACCCCTGCAGAGCCTCGAGCCCCTGCACACGGGCCAGCTTCACCTCCCGCGGGCGCCATCCAGCTGCCTCCGGGCCTCCAGGTGCGTCCCGGCGCGGGCCCTCCCCACGGGCCAGCGAGCCTGCTCTCTGCTCTGCCCTGATTCTCCCTGCCTCTCCCCGCCGCTCCCTGCCCCCCGCCCAGCCCTCAGCTTCTCCCGGATTTCAGGCCGCTTCTCCAGTCTCCTATCAAGACAGATGCAGGGCAGCTGCCCACCCAGACACTGCAGAGTGCAGTCCCTGCTCAGGCTCCGTGATGAACCTGGTGACGTGAATAAGCCAAATGCACAAAGGCCAAGGAGCTGCAGACAGCGGCCGTCCGTTTTAAGGTGTGTCTCAGAAACCCCCAACTGCCTGGAAATAGACACGGGCAGACCACGGCGTGACTGGATGGCCTTGTTGACACTGGGTCGGGTGTCCAGGCCGTGTGTGTGTGGACACGTCGGGGGGCGAGGCCTGGCGGGTGGCGCCATTCAGCAGGACTCTGCATGGGGTCACCGTGCCCAGCGGCCCCCAGTAACCACCCCTGAGGGCTGCGGTGTGACTGAATGCCCGCGCCACCCCACAGGAGCCAGCAGCTCACCATGGGTGGAGTCAGCCTTGGCGCTGCCTGACGTGAAAACCAGCCCCTGAGAGTCAAACCTGCTCTTCCCACGAGGAGCGGCCGGACCACAGGCGTCCTCCCCAGGCCACAGACGTCCTCCCCAGGCCGGGTCTCCAATGGTGCCCTGTCTGCAGGGATCCTTCTTGCCTGGCAGGTAACTCGGGGGTGGAAGGCTGGGAGAGCGGGGGCGGGGCGGGTCTCAAGCGCCCACTCCCTGGCTCACGGGAAGCGTCATCTTCTTGGTGATGCCACGAGCACAGGTGGGAGGAACGGCCTCGAAAGCCCCTGAGTCCCTCTAAGTTTATTCTAATGGCGTCAGCGCCCTGAGGGGGTTGTTTCCCGCCTGCTCCAGCCCAGCAGCAGCCCAGCCACTGGCCCCAGGGCCACTCCCCGGCTGCGGCCCAGCAGGTGGAGCCTGAGACATGACGTCCTCATGGCCTAATGCTGGGGTCAGCACCCGCAGGCGTGAAGCCGGGGGCCAGCTGCCGCCTCGAAGCTGCGTGACCTAGGGCAAGCCTTAATCCAACTCTTTCCTTCTTGCATTAAGGGAGCACAATTATCTGAGCTCAGGCATAGCTGGGAGGGCCGAAGAGCGGGTCATGATATGATTGTCCTTCCAGTCATGAAAGGCGACCCAAGGCAAGGACCTGTCGTGAGGTTTCCTGCGGGTGCGTGCACACACACACACACCCCGCTACACAGCCGTGCATATGCACACAGATGCACGCACACCATGGACACGCACATAAACACAGACACACACACATATCCACCATATCACACATGTACGCATATACACCATATGGACACTTCTGTGCACACATACACACACATGTGGGCACGTGCACACATATAAGCACACACGTGCACGCTCATCCTGAGTGGTCAGAGCGCGCCCACGCGTACCCCCAACAGGGAAGGGGAGCGGCTAGCACTGGGGCTCAGAATGAGGGGTGCGACCCGCTGTCCTTTCCTCAAAGCAGGTCTCCATCTCCCCAAAGTGTGCCCAGCACCCCCACAGGACGAACACATGACCCTCTCCCGCAGGAAGCCCAGGGGTGCAGGGAAACCCTGGCGAGTTAACGCTGACGGTTACCACCCACCTGTCCCCTGGGTGGGGTAATGGCAGAGGCAGCAGCTGTGTCCCCACGAGCCCACGGGCTTACCCGCAGCGAGCACACGGCGCGTCTCCCCAGAAGGAACAAGAGCAAGCCACAGGCGACATCAGCCGGGGCGCCCACACCTGCCTGTCCCCAGGTGAGCAGCGCCCCTCTCGCCCCTATATCCAGCCAAGGCGGGCCTGCGGCGTAGCAGTGCAGCCCAAGGCGCCCAAGCGGGCCGGGGTGTGAGCCGGTGCTGGGGCCCACGGCAGGCTCGGCGGCAGGCGAGGGATCAGGGCCGCGGCCAGGGAGCATGTCCAGGAGGGGACGGCCGCCAAACGGGGGCCTTGGTGAGTTTCCCGGAGGGAATACTGGTTGGTCCCTAAAGGACAAATGAAAATCATCCAGAGACAAGGGCCTCGGCAAGCGAGCAGACACACGAGCCCGCTGGGGACGCCCAGCATGAGGGGCAGGGGCACAAGGGGGGCCTGGGGGTGCAACGGGAAACACGTCAGGGCTTGGGCGCCGCGGAGCAGCCCCGGGGTCTCGGCGCTCAGCACCCGATGAGCCGCTGGGGTGGCCCCTGTCCTGGGCTAGATGACCCCCCACGCCGGCCCCGCCCGCGCTGACGAGCTGACATCGGCTCTGCAGGGCTCTCGGGCGGGCGGGGCTGCCCGGGTCTGGGTGACACTGGGTGACACTGGGTGTCTGCAGACACCAGACACAGGGGCGTTCTCGAGTCAGGGCCCGAGCAGACACGGCAGCCGGGAGCCCGCAGAGCAGGGGCAGGCCTGAGGACACCCCAGGGGCGCGAGGCTCGGCAGCACTGCTGGCTTCCAGCCCCGGGCAGCAGGGGTAGGAGCCGCGGAGCTCAGGCCGAGTGTGCGGGGCCGGAGGTGCCAGACGGCGCGGAGAGGTCAGAGTG